GTGACTTACATAGTGAACAAAAGTGGTGGGAAGGCGCCTCCAAAATAATTTTCGTTGAATCAGGTCACGAGCCACGCACAGTATGGAAAAAGATCAAAATTAAAGAATTTTATATTCGACATACCGCGTAGTTCAAAGGGACACACAAACAAGTTAAAATACGTTACAGTGTTATTTACGAAACAACACGCATGCATTCTGGAAGAATTCTTGCAATTTCTTCCTAGATTTTTCATACGAAACTGGCCCTCCGTTCTGCAAATTTCTTTCCATCTTGAATTAATTTATGCATTTATGGACCACAACAGTCTTGAGCGACAAGCAAGTACTTCAATTGACTCGATACGTTGTAATGAAATGTCAGGAAAGAAATTAGAGCTGCAATAACCGCAGCCCCCACAGTCGCTGCTTTCCATAAAACAAGTAAATATTTTAAAAAGATATAATTCTCAATAAAATGTAGAATTCTTCAATCCATTTGATAACTTCGTTTTATTAGCTGGTGTTTGGTCTCACTTTTTGTACCCGGCAAAGAGGTCACATGTCAAGGGAAATTAGCATAATCACGCCACGCAATTTGTCTAATTGGTTTGAATCGTCGCAGGGAAATTTTAGTTTGTAATGACCAGAGTGTCAAATTTTATTCTTCAACTTTGATCTTCTCCACACTATGGCTGGCTCGTGGCCTGATTCAACGAAAATTATCGAGAAGGCGCAACGTTTTAGGACCATTCTTTTTGTCGATATCTAACCTATCAAAGGTATATGCTAACTTTTACAGTACTCCCTAATGTGCATGCTGGTAGGCTACTTTCTCACGTCGTCGAGTTCCCATCAATTTGTAGCAGCAGATTTGTTCCTGATAGACGACTTTTCTATCGTCAAAGAAAATTCTTGTCATCACCGGATTGGTTCATGGTGGTAGCCTTGAAAGCTTTTTGAGGTGCAAGGATTACGGAAGTAACGAATATGCGAATGTGCACTGTAAGCTGAATGACCAACAGCTGCTGAAAATTGCTCTACAGGTGGCCTTGGGAATGAAACATTTGGAAGAGCAGAAGGTTAGCCTAAACTTTTCCTAGCAAAGCTCTTTATTTTAGTAACTAATATTCAACCAAACGGATGGAAAATCCTCAGGTTAATGTAGTGACTTGTTGGCTTGTTCATTCCAGTTTATACAAGTTAATGTTACAAGATCATGTACCATTTTCACTGGGCCAAGTTCCATGGAGATGGTCGTCTTTAGAATCTCTGCTAGATCGAGTTTATACATCCAAGAGCAATGTGTAAGTGACGCAAAAATTAGGATATGAAGGCTAACTTGGGGGGCGGGGAGAGTGGGTGGTTGACTACCCATATGCTTTTGGCCGCTGAGATTTTCGCCATCCCATTCTCCCTCACGTTATTATACCCCCGATGCAAACGTAGAATATCTTGTAACGAGAGCGTTTTAGGATTGTTTCAAGCCAGGTTTGATCGCATAGTCTGAAAAGCAATAGTCAAAAAATATGTAGTGTTCGGTGCCAAAGAATGATAATTAATGACTCTCAGACACTTTCAACTATAATTGTTGGTTGTTGGTTTTTCTTTTAATTTTTTTTTGTCCCACGCTCATGACAAGATGAAAAACACAGGTTTCCTTAAGAAATGTTACTTGTTATTATCCCCAGAAAATGTATCATCTATTTCGCGGAAAAAAATTGATTCTGACTGCACTCACATGGCGACTTTAACACGGACAAAGTGCATAACTTGAGTGGGGTTCGTGCATATGTATGAGCACTGTTACCTAGTAACGCGTGAGGTATTTTACGTCACGCTCCACTGAGTCTTAGATAGAAGCTGTCCACCTGTTTGGATGCGGTCTGAGAAACTAGGATAGATCGAGCAGTTCGAAGTGAACTGCGTCTGGTGTTTTGATTGTAATTTGGAAAGCTTTGTTTTTTAAGTGGATAAAGATAAAGCAGATGTAGTTTAGAAAATGGTTTTGATCTTTGAAATTAAAAAAGATTTCGTCCATGAAAGATTATGCAAATTCACGCCTGAAATTGAAGCGAACCGTAATTTGAGCTTTTTGTTTACATAAGTTTGGGTGATATTTAAAAGTAAAAGTTGGTCTTCTTAAAGCGAAGACATTGTTCACTGAAGGGAAAAGTTTCTTCACTTTTTTTTCCGATTAGGCAATGTTCGATCCCTGATCTCTCGTGGATCACAAACGCGGCGATTCCAATCCGCATTCCAGCCGTCAAAGGAAACGATCACGTAATCATCGCCTACTTCTTCAACAGTGAACGCACACCAAACTCCTTCTTCATCGACTACTTCAGCTTTGAAGCCCACAGTTTGTGGAAGCGCCATAACGTTTTCAGTCAACCTTGCGGTTAGGTCATGCAATCAAAACAGGTTTGCGATCGATAACGCCGGTCAACTTGTTTTGATGAATCAGTAATCAGTCGCTAGGATACTTAATGGTGTCCAGTGTCCCTGGGTAATTCTAGCGCCCCATTGCGTGTGTGTCGATTAAACCGGAATTCTTAATGAATTACACACGTTGTCCGTGTTGAAGTCGTAGTGCACGAGATATTCAATGTGAAAAGTTGATTTAGAATGAGTCAGTCAGTCTTCTAGCTTACGCATCCTGATACAATCATAACATGTGTACCCTAAAACTAAGGGTTCTAGAAATGAACCCGTGCTACGCTAGATACGGAAAACCACTTAAAAATCACTTTATAGATGTGGCCAAAAAAATGTGAAACGTATTCCTCATCTGATGCAGCAGCACAATACCTCGAGGAAAGCGTAAACTAACCTGGTTGCTCTACTAATAACAAAGAAAAATCAATGATTGTAATGATCTTGTACAGGGAGTTGGAAAACCAAAACTACAAAAATACCAAAAAGAAAGTGGTCAAGACTGACCGACCTAGAATGACCTAGTTTTCCCGCGAAACGCTTAAATAATCCGAAATTCCATGATACCACGCGAACCTCTTCAACGTGCGATCAGAATAATAATTTCGGACTAATTCTTTCCAATGTCAATCAAACCTCAGCAAGTACATGCATGCTTAACTGAAAGCAAGTCATCAATCATTGCTTTTTGGCTATCAGCGTATTTTTTTATTTTTTTTATCGCCCATGTGTAGGTGGTCGTTTGGCATAGAGGGGGGTTACTTTAATAAGTTGAAAGATTCTAGGAACAACATTATCAGGTTTCCTATGCAATTTTGAGCTTACAAGCTATATGTCAACAGATGTGTTAGAGGGATAGACAGCTTTAACTATATGATCAGTTAAGGTCAAGTTACTATTGTTAAGCAAACTCTCTTCTTTGTTATTTTGCTTGACAGGTGACTCACCATACCCTGACATTCCCAACACCACTTGCTTTGATAAGTCGGCTGTCTACAGGCTACCGGATGTCACGTCCTCATCAATGCTCGGAAGAACCGTAAGCTTCTCGATCATTTTCAAGTATGTGTTTTTACATGCTTACATTTATTCTATCAGTTAACAATTTCGACATTATTTAAGTAATTCGAAGCATTTTATCCAGGAGAGGATTATTAGTTAAGGTTTTGTCTCTCGTCAGATTTGGAACTCCACCCAGTTTACATCGCCCTGTTAGAGCTCTGCAGTTTCCCTGTATTTAGATTGAGTGATTTAAATGAATAAATAGGTTCAAAAAATAAATAAATACTGCAATATATTTGTAGATATACGCTGATGAGATCTTGTTGGAACGAGGATCCTTTGATGAGACCTTCGTTTGCTGACATCGTAGATCAGCTGGGATACTTCTTACGAGAAGTAAAGGTGAGTGAAATTGAATTTAGGCAATTCCTTAGCCCTTCCTTCCACTCTTTCCGATTTTTATCAATTAAGCAATACATTGATTTGATTTCGTTTGATTATATAAAAAAAATCAAATCGTTAAAATAAGTAGACTTTGCATTAATTTGAGAGGAGTCATTTGAGATCAACGGAAGCGGCGACAAATATTGAAACACTTTCCATTGTACAAATGGCGAACTATATCATTTATATCTAAATTGCTTTCAGAAGGAAGATAACACAAGTAAAAGCATTGCTGAGATAAAAGGTAGGTCAAATTATCATGGTTCAAACGGTGTACCACTGCTTGCCTTGTAAAAAATAGTAAAAACCATGCACAAAACCATGATCGGTTTGTTTTCGTTGCAAAGATTAAACAAGGATATTAAAAATCCTTTTGCAGAAACGTAACGGAAAGGAACAACAGCGGAAACGTCCTGACTTAAATATGACGGAAACATGACTTGACATTTCCGTTCCGAAAACATGACGGAAACTTGATCGAATCGCCAAGACTTGGCATAACACGTTTCCGCAAAACGTAAATGTAGCGGAAACATGAAGCTCTATGCCTCTGTCATATTTAAGAAATGCGGAAACGTGAGATTTCGTCCCGTGAAACTGCAAACACATTTTATTTTCAACTATTTTTACACGATATCGTACATTTTACACGAATTATTCTCCTGGGCAATCCGACTTGATCTTTATTTCAGCTTTGGTAATGGATGCCGCAGGGACTTTACCCCAGTAATCCCATCTTAAACCATTCTTTTATTGGTAATTGTCGTTGAGGTTCGAATTCCACAGCCATCTAAATCTTTTGAATACCACCAAGCGCCAAATCTTCTAGTAAACTCTGGGTCGTCTTTATCTATTTTTGAAAAGAGGGGTGGTTATTGCTATCAAAAAAATCGTTGGCATCTCCTTCAGAGAGAGAGAGAGAGAGACAGAGAGAGAAAGAACAAATATATGATCAAAGTGATTTGATATTATCATTTATAGAACGCTTTTCTCATAAATGTTCAAAAGCGCTCATCAGAGTGTGCGTTTTAAATAAAATAAAACCCAAGACAGAATTTACAAGCTCATCACTGGCTTAAAATTATAGGTTCTTTTTCTAAATATTGAAATACAATAAATTACCATAAAATCATGATCACGGCGGGAGACGAGTATTTCCACCCATGCGCGAGCACGAACGACCTTGGCGTGATGCACAGCCCGTGTGCAAAGTGGCAATAGCAGACACCGTCCTTAATGGAGAGAACATTGTGTTAATCTGTGAAACAAAGACAAATATATTCTATTAACCGCTAAATTCAAAGACTTTCGAAGCAGAAATCGAATGGATACGAACTTGTTCTCAAACACTTGTAAACGTAATTATTACCATACCTTACCGAATGTAATAACTTGATCTATAATGGTTGGGATGCAATTTTAAATCAGGCATAAGATTTTACACCAAAATGGTTCGACAGGAAGATCAATTGCCACTTAATTACAGCCCTTTCGAAATCGCTAGATTTATGCGCCCAAATACATGCTATTATGCATTAAAATATGTTATACATACATATATATATATAAACATATCTTTGTATTCTTTCTAATTTGATTTTGGATTCTAAAAAATGTTTGATTCGATTTGATTTAATTCATCATTCATTCAATAGTTTTTCGTTTGAAATGAATCATTTACCCTTTCCCTGATTTACATGAGCTTATTTAGATGTAAAGGATAAATAGTTATTTATTGTGTGTTATAACTGTTTTCCCGTTTTCTAGAAGTTCTGATCCATACAAAAGTGTGTGGAAAACTCAGTTCCCATCAGGGAGAGTTCTTACAAAAATCATAGAAGCGCTGTTTATTAAAGCCTAATCTCGTCGATGACAAAAACGAGAAAAAAGCATCGTGATTTCCGCTTTGCTCAACCCACGCATTACAACTTTACAACAATTACGGAATGATCAGTTCTGGAGAACGCTTTCTGTACTTAAATTTGAATTTTATCGTAAAACTGACTAATCAAACAGGAAAGGATGTGCTTTACTTCCTTGAATCAACTGTTCGCCTCCCTTAAGCACGAAGTGCTCGCCTACTAAGACTCAACCTGAGGAGCAGCTTGCGCTTCACATTGGGCCCTGACATGTTTCACTTCCTTTTTTCTTTCCAAAGTTGAAGTTCTCGTCCCACTATTTTGAACATAGGTATCGTCAAAACCAAAAAACTAACCCCTTAAGAAAAACAAAACAACAATAGCATTTGGAAGCGATCAACCTCAGTAAATTTAAGTAAAGGGAATTTTAAGTTTAAATAATAAACACAATCATCATCATCATCATCATAAATATGAAAAAAAATGCGATATCAGAATTTGGTTAAATTTATGAAGAATGTGAACGCATATATTCCGTTGCATTGTTGACCCTGATACTAATTGTAGCGGATGAACTTAACTTCTTCTTTCCTTCGATTCATTACCTATGAAGGGGAAAATATTAAAGAAAACTCGCTTTACATTGAAGGACAATGGGCAAACCTGGCCTAGCAGGCTTCGTACAACACGCTTTTTTAAAACCTCTGACTTAAACTTTCAAGGATGGATGTCTCATTACATTGAAAGTGCATGAAAATGCGCCAAATTCTTTCAAGGCTGAAAAACTATTTAATAAGTTGAACTGAAACATAACAATTTGTATTTTTTTTCTTTTCATATATATTTATTTTTAAAAACGAAACAGTTATGAATTTAAGAAGAAAAATGTTAATTTCTTCCATTAATTGTTGTAAATAGGGAAGATTAAAGGCGTGGGCTGGTTTCATTCCTTCCTTTTGGGCTCCGCAGGACGTTTCTGTTAAATCATCCTTGGACTTCTAAGTTAGACACTATTTAAATTTAAAGAATTGTTCCGTGCTACGAAAATAGGTGGTTAGCTCTGAACTGAAATATGTTCTTTTTATAAGGCTACCATCGGGGAGTATAAATTCAGTTGGCTGCAGCAGTTCTAGCTTATAACTTATCATTCTCGCTTCTTTAAGAAGTTCAAGTTTAAGTTGAATTTAACTTTCGCACAATGTCTCGTGTTTTCCCATGTTCTTTCCGAATCTTTTTGTTCATCGCGTTGGTTTCTGATAGTCAGATTTTGGTTCATCCCGTCACATCATTTAAAGGTTTGTGCCAGGTTATTCTTTTCCCATACAGAATTTTTTTTTCAATTTTGAGCTGAAGTAAGCCAGGTTGACGTTATGGTTTCCATTCTCTTGTGTTCAGGAGAGTAGACCTTCTGTGCAACCATGTAATAAGGATTTAACGTGTTTGAACATCGCTTTTTCTTTCATTTCTTGTCTTTTCATCATTCTCATCGTTATTTTCGAGTGACTGCGTTTTTGTTTCTTAAGCGTAACATCTGCTTTTTGCCTGGATTAAAATCAACTTTAACTTGGTCATTTTTCTTATTGTTTTTTCAGTTTAACTTATTACCCGAATCTTTTATTCAACAGCTAATTGCGCTGAGCTTTATATGGATGGTAATACAGCCAGCGGTTTCTATAAGATTGATCCTGATGGTTTAGGTGCCTTTGAAGTGTACTGTAATCAGAGCACGGCTGGTGGAGGATGGACAGTGATCCAGAGGAGACTGGACGGATCTGTCGATTTTAATCGTACTTGGTGCGACTACAAGCATGGCTTTGGTAACAAGGATGGCGAGCATTGGTTGGGTCTGGACAAGATAAACCGCCTTACTTGGAGAACAAAGAACAAGCTACGAGTAGATCTGGAATTTAGACGAAATCAGGAAATTTATCATCCTTACGCCGAGTATGACTTGTTCGCAGTTGAATCGGAATTGAAAAATTATTCCTTGATTATTGGTGGGATGTTTTCAGGTAAGTTATTTGCTAAGTCATAATTACTATGAGAAGTATAAAGCGGATTAGCAAATCAGTTCATCAGCTAGATGTTTTACATCGAAAATTACCCTTATTAAATTTTTAACGGTGTGTTACGCCTAAAAATAAGACAATCTCTCCATGCAGCCTTGCACTTTGATCATTGGAGGGACTTCAAAATATAATTTTTTGTGGTAGCTCATAATTATTATGATTCGTGGACTGAAGTAGCGTTTAAAGTAACAAATCAATAAATCAACTAGACTTTGAGGCGAGGAAATATCCATTGCTTGAAAGTGATCTGATAGTCAAATTGATGATTAAGATGAACTTGGTACGTACGATATTGATAAGTTCTATTCAGCGGACACGGACACTAGAATAAGGCCTTGATTAAGCCTTAATTGCTTATACATACATAGCAGATTGGAAAGTAAATGCGCAGTTCGCAACTTACCTTAGGTAGACAGCCAATGTTTTTTTTTTCGGATGTTCACTTACCACAAGTTATCCTGAAGCCCCTGTATGCCACATTAAGAAAGCCAATACGGATCATTATTTAGATCCTCAAGGATATACGACTATGTGAGACTTAAGATTTAAAAAAAAATTAGACAGTGGAAGACGTACCTATTTCGACAGGCCTATACCAATCGTTTATAGTAATTAATATAGTAACGAGTTTGTAAATTCTGTCTTAAGTTTTATCATTTTATTTTATATGCGTACTCTAGACAGCGCTTTTGAACACGAGAATAGCATTCTATAAATGATTATTATAATATTAAATTACTTTGATCATACATTTGTTCTTTCTCTCTATTTGAAGGAGATGTCGACGATTCTTTTGTTGGCAATAACCACGCCCAATTTTCAACAGTAGATAAAGACGACACTGTACTAAACTGTACTAAAAACTTTGGCGCTTGGTGGTTTTCAAAAGGTTTGGAGCACTGTGGTCACTCGAACCTCAACGGTAATTACCACCAAACGAGAGGTATGAGATGGACTAAGTGGAATAAACGCCCAAATACGCTCATCATCAAAGCTGAAATGAAGATCAAGCCGGATTGCCCAAGAAAATAATTTATGTAAAATGTATGAGATCGTGTTAAAAAAAAGATGACAATAAATGTGTTTGTGGTGTACTAGTTGATTCTTGTGTAACTCGCTGGATGAGCGAAGTATGTCGAATCGAAGTGCGCAGAGGTTATGGAACCACTCAGCCACACCAATTGAGCCTCGAAACCTCTTCTTGTCTACGAACATATCTTATTGGTTTGTGCATAATATGTCCTTCATTTTTTCTTACTCTTCCAAATCGCAAAGCGTCTCCAAATGGAATTTCAGTAGCCAAAATACCACATACTTGCTATTTTAACGTTACCATACTGCCATACGCACTGAAACTTTTGTATTCTGGCTGTCGGAGGAACATTTCGAATCTTTTTCACGTTGTACACAGCGGACACATGAAAATTTGACACAAGGAAACCTGGAATCTGTTGTGTAGATTGTTAAATTACAGCATTTAACTATGAGGAGGAAATATGTACTCATACGAAATTATGCTTATCTGTACTGATATAGGTTTTGAGCGCTTTTATGAAATTTTTCAAGAAAGGCGGAGGTCTTCTTTAACCAAAACATAACCGGTGAAAGGCGGGCACTAATCGAGAACAGACTGAATGATTCACTGTATTTTAGTCACAACTAGTTTATGATAAGGTATGATAAGCTCTACAGTAAAGGGTTTGAGCCCAGGAGTAACTTATGATAGTTTAGTCTGATCGTCCGAGTGAGTGTAGTCCGAATAAGGACTGTTATCGGTTGTGGTGTCGGACGTTCGAAAACCTAAGCGGAAGTCATCATCAGAGTCAAGTGAATAGCTGTTCTTAATCGAATGTTCTAAGACCGGTTTATATATACTGATTGGTCAGTTTTGCCGTGATTATATTGGATGTAAGACTCAAGTGGCATAACAGGTAATTTAGTGTTAACAACTGGGTTGAAAACGTAAATTAGCCACCGTAAAGGGTAAAAAAGCTGACGTTTCGAGCGTTAGCGTTAGCGTTAGCCCTTCGCTCTGACGAAGGGCTAACGCTCGAAACGTCAGCTTTTTTACCCTTTACGGTGGCTAATTTACGTTTTCAACCCAGTTGTTAACACTAAATTACCTGCTATACTCTCCCACCGACGCAGCACCACAGTTTCTTTAGAAACTTACCCCTTTATTCAAGTGGCATAAGTCGGTCTCGATTCGACTGTAAAGCTGGGTTATTCTGTCTAACTCATTACGGACGACAATTTACAGGAAACTGACACATACCGACAGATTACTAGACGAGCCATTTTAGAACCCGATATCACACAAAGCCGCAACTATCAGGACTCTTCATACTAGTTGCGATGGGCGAAACGTCAGTCACCACTACCGACAACAGTTCTTCTTAGAATTACTCTCAACCGGACGATGAGATTACACTATCACAAACAGTAAGATACTCGTAAACATT